CCCCCCCCTTTTCCGCCAGCCGCTGCAGTCCCCCCCTTGCTCCCCTCCCACCCCAGCTCTGTTCTCTGTAAAGCCTATTGACTCATTTTTTTCGAGAGAGATTTGATGAGCCCTCTTGTCATTGTTACGGGTGTGACAGTGAATACGAAAAATTAGGCCTCTGCTGTCTTGGCGTTTACCTTCTAGGGGGGCAGACGTGCAGTGAACAAATACACAGGTCGTGTTGACAGCTCCTCACTGTCCTCCCCGGAACCTTGTGCTTCTCGGTGTCCGTGGCACTGGATTCCCTGTCTGTGGCTATTTCCTCACCCGACCTGCCCTCTGTATGTAGGTGGCCCCAGGAGTGGCTTTAGTCCTTGTGGCCCTATTGAGACTTTCCCTGAGTGGTGCCATCACTTCCGGTGGCTCCGGTTACAGTAAAATCTGATGCTTCCCAACCTCTGGCTCCAGCCCTCACCCTCAGTCCCATATCCCTGATGCCTCCTTAGGGACCCATCCCCAGGATGTCCAACTGTCATCTTCACCGCAAAGTGAACCCATTGCCTTCTCCCTAAGTCTGCTTCTTCCCTCTATTGTTAAAAGTCACTATTATTTACTGAGCCATCTAAGATGCAGAATGGGGAATTTCATACTTCATTGATTCAAAGGCACACATTTCCTCCCCACGTTTTAATATCTTACAATCAGGCATCTCAGTTATTGACCAGGGAGCGATTATGACTTAGTCTTTATTATCTGCACATTTGCAAACTTGGTCATTGTTGCTTGTGGTATAAACCTATGAATTAAAATTTGCACCATAGGAACTATACTATGAGCCTTTCTTTGCTTGTTAGCCTTTTGTATTTATTTTAAGAAGTCACTGTGGATGCTCTGTGGGGAATTGTTGAGTTTGATTGCTGTTTAAATGTCTTAGAAATATTACACTGTTACTTGGCATTGAAATGAAAAGTTATTGCATATGAGAGAAGGCATGGAAATAGAGTGATGGGATATAAACTAGATATTAATGCAAACATTCATCACTGAAGAAATGACCAAAATTCCACATTTTCTTGCAAAGCAACCTTCTGACCTAAGGAAGGACACTCCTCACAAATAATGTTACCTTCTGTTTCTGGGGTCGCATGTGAAAGGGTAGTTATATGAGGCAGTGTCATTGAAGGTAGCAAACATTGCTAGTATTTTCTTTTTCTATTTTTCCTTAGTGGAAAATAAATTAATGGTGCATTTTATAATCAATAAAGTCTTCGGTTGAGCAAAATATGACCATTTTCAATGTTTCATGCTCTGCCTCCAATCAGCTACCAAGTGCTGCATTTTCAATGTCCTTAGCAGCTCTTGAATCTGATCACCCCTTCCAAACCCCCCCCCCCC